GGAGATCTTTACATCAGTACAAGTCAGTCTAACGTGTTCTTAAATTTGGAATAGATATTCCTAAATTGCTCCTACAGAAAGTGCCCCATTTATTCCCTCATCAAGTGTCTGAGAGTGCTTTGTTCTTCACCCTTTCATTGACACTAGATAGTCTTCCTAATTTTAACCAAAATGAGAGGTACTTTAACTTGAATTCATTTTACTGTCAGTGAGATCAAGAATCTTTTCATGTAATTTATTGTCCATTTGTATATATTGTTTTTCTGTCCATTTTTCTATTGGATCCATTTCTTATTCCTCTGGGAAGACCTTGTATAGTAGAGAAATCAGCTTTTTATTTTATCATTGGTCATTTCACTTTGTATATTTGCCATACTGAACTTTTAATTTTAAGTACTTACTTTTATGGGTTTTTTTTTTTTTTTTTTTTTTTTTTTGCGTTACGCGGGCCTCTCACTGCTGTGGCCTCTCCCGTTGCGGAGCACAGGCTCCGGACGTGCAGGCTCAGCGTCCATGGATCACGGGCCCAGCTGCTCCGCGGCATGTGGGATCTTCCCGGACGGGGGAACGAACCTGCGTCCCCTGCATCGGCAGGCGGACTCTCAACCACCGCGCCACCAGGGAAGCCCTTTTATGGTTTTTTATTGGTTTGAATTTTATGTCCTAAATTGAAATACCTTCCTGTTTTTCTATTTTTGGCCTTTTAATCAAATCCTTCTGTTTGGTAGCAGAGTTGCATGGAAGGTAATTGGAAGAAATTGGTGTGTCTGGTATCTCTCTCTGAATCAAGGCATATAGCTATCTCCGAAGAGTTCATGAAGCCCTGAGTGTCCCTGGGTATCCCCTAATGATGAGAAGAAAGAAACAGGAAACAAGACAGAGTTTTTAACCAGCCACTGAAAGAACAGTCTTCTCAGGCAGGCTGCCAAGTGAATTTTTTTTCTTCTGGAAACAGCATTTGATGGTTGACACCCAATCCCAGCATTAATTGCTGTAGCTCTGAAACTCGTGTGACAGGGAAATGGGAGCAAGACATGGATATAGGGGTAAAATGGTCCTCTTTGGGGGCTCAGCTCAGACCTGAACAACACATCCAGAAATCCTGTAGCTTCTTGGTTGCCCCAGACATATTTGAAAGGAATGAGGGTATGAGGATAGGGTAGTATAATGAGTTGAGAAATTTGAAGGGGAGTCAGGAGGTAGAAAAGATGCTGTTTAATTTGGGCTCTTGGTGGGTCTTCTTCCTTTTCAGGAGGGCAGGCGAGAATTGCTGCTACCACTGTTGCATCACCAGTGTGACCCCAAGCCTTCCCTGTGTTCCACCCGCTCATTCTAAAGTTAGCAAGGAGGCAGTTTTTCCACCAGCAGTATGGCTTGTTTGCTGCTTTGGGTTTGCGGGTAGACCTGATGGAGAACAGAGCAGGAGGGAGCTTTCAGTTTCCAGGCTTCTCTTTAGCTCTGTCCTCTGCTGGACGATCACTGATTTCTGCAGGATGCCCGGTGTTTTACTCTGAGGCACATCTATCTCCCCACGGCTTCCTTTCCTAGGAATCACTGTTTACCTTTCCAGTACTTTAAGGCAATGCCAAGCTGACAATCCCTTTGGAAAAATAGTAATTCAGCACAATAGAGCAGAGAGGCAGCTCTTCTGTCCTTCCTGCTGAAGATTACCTTGATTCGATGTATTTGGACATCTAAGGGCTCAGCTCTGTACATCCTGCAAATTTTGTCACTTTATACTGGATGAGAGTGGAGGCTCTAGAGGCTGTCATGGCAACCCAGTGATCCAGCCAATCCCAGAAGATTTTATTCCCTTTCTATGAATCATAGGGAGAAAATGAAAGAGTTTGAGTCCAACCTCTTTGAATGCAAGGAATATTCAGTATTTGTACACCCAATAGGCATTCCACCCGGTGTTCAGGTGGACCATTTGGGGCACGAAGAATTTCATCTGAAGAAACTTTGCACCATTTCTTGTCTGTGACCATGACCATTGGACTGATCATTCTGGAGAAACAATAGATTAAGTCTAGAGACGGGTACTGGGAAAAAGTTCTATTCTTCAAATAAGAGTGTGCATTTGTGATTTTTCCAGAGGCCACCATTTTGACATGTAAAACCAACAGACATTTGATGAGCCATTGCTTATGTTCAAAGTAATAAAAATAATTACCATAGGGAAGAAAAGCCACAGCTAGATTGCTCAATACTTCGTTGGTTCATTCATACAATAGATATTTATTTAGCCCTTCATACAGGCCAGGCACAATGCTAGGAGCTCGGAATGTATCTGGAATAATAAGAATAACTCTAGCTAACGAGTGTTGTGCACTTACTATCTATCAGGCATTGTGCTAAATGCTTTACATGGGTTATCTCATATAATGCTCAAGTCAACATTGTTATTAGATGCTTTTATAATCTATATGAAGAGAAGGGGAGTGAGGCTTAGAAAGCATAATGCTCATCAGGATTAGAGCTGAAATACAAACTCAGTGTACTTTTTCCTTCTTAATTGTTTACTATTGTCTCTACACAAGGTAGAAACAAGTCCCTGCCCTCCCAGAACTTAGAGTCTAAATTAGAGAACACTTTCCTCCAGATAGACTTGGAATCAGTCTCTGGAGAGGTGTGGAGAGTCCTCCAGAGAAGGCGTTCCTTCTTTCAGCACATACTCAGGTCACACATACTCAGGTGATGGAAGTCGCTTGATGACAGGGACTCCCTTTGTTTTCTCTAATCACACTCATTTCTCCCATCCCCTGTGTCCTTCTCATGTCCTCCTCACAGCCACATTTGCCTTGTCCTACTGCCACACTCTTTCTTCGCTGAGTGTCCCCCGCTCCCACTCTTTCTTCTCTGAGTGTCCCCCGCTCCACACCTGTTCATGCTTTTTCTCGCCCATCTAGACAATTACTACAGTCCCCAGATGACACGCGATGAAGTTTTGAAGGAAGGAAAACATGGAAGGGAGGTAAAGTTTCACTGCAGATGCAATGAGCCGTTGACACACGGCTGAGTACGCCTAGGGGTTCATCTCTAGCATCTCTGGCATTGGAGGGACTCAGGATTCCAAAAGTACATTCTGCTGTTGCTAAGCTTACTTTTTTCCATGATGAACAACCCAGTTCATTATGTTTTCAGCTCACATTAATCTTCCTTTCTGTGAGTTTGGTAACATTTGGAGTCATTTCCCTCTGTATTTATCCATCTGGGATCTTTAGAAAAGGCAAGTTTGCGGAGAGTCATTTGTTGCTCACTGCTGTAAGAGGAGTGAATGTTCTCCTTGTTTCTCAGATCCTGAGAGACAATCCTCGGAAGTCAGGCATGGATCCCCTCCACAAGGCAGAGGGCCCCCTTCCTGGGATCCGATGGGGTCCTCAATGTGGGATAGAGCAGCAACGTAACAGCATCGGAAGTTACAGCAATCCCTGGATTCTGTTTGCCCTCATGGAGCAGATGGAATTGGGAAAGAGGGGTAAAGAAAGAATTGTGGAAAGGATTGTGAGATTAATGAGTCAGAGCAAAGTCTTTGGCTTGATTCCTGTCTCTACCACCTGCAAGCTATTTGACCTTGGACAAGTCACATAATCTGTCCAAGATCCACTTGCCTAACCGGTGAGGATGCCTGTCCTCTTTACATGAGAGAGTAGTTTTGAATGTTCACTTATGTCCTCATCTCCATTTTGGGGTAAGTTTATAACCTTGCTCCTATCCCTAAAGTTTTGCAATTACTTTTGGCCTTTTTTCAACACTAATACATGTGTATATATATGATTAGAAAGAAAAATAGGCTATTGAGGAAGTCTTAGAGCCTAGTATTTCTTTTTTGGGGGGGGTTTAAATTTTTGTTTAATTTTAGAACATTTCCCTAGAACAGATTACTTGAAAGAAAATTACAATGTCAAAAGATATATATATATATATATATATAAAGATAGATGTATATATATATAAAATTTAATGTTCTCAACAGATATTGCCAAATTTCTTCCCAAAACATATTCTCAAAAGATGTGTTAATGAGGATGCTATATTATACTATTCTTATAAGCATATGGATGGTATTTTCAAAAATTATATGGATAGAAGAAAAACATTCATATCTCATTTTATAGTTGCATTTCTTTGGCCGCTAATTACATCATTTTTTTCCAGTTTCATTGACATATAATTTGCATTCAGCACTGTATAAGTTTATGGTGCACAGCGTAATGATTTGACTTACATATAAGAGGCTAGTATTTCTTAATTCTCTTTTTATGCTAAAAAAAAAAAAAAGGCTTGGAGGTGTGTGTCATATTTAAAGATCTATTGGAGCGGGGATACATTGTTTAGAAAACAAAGAGAGAAACCTTTGGAAATTCAGTTAAGGACATCCTTCCAGGTATAATGTAATCTTAAGAGGTCACAAAGGAGGCAACCCTTTCGGAGATTCCATGCTGTAGGTCCTTAGCAACATTTTGTTGTGAAGGATGGAATGCACTCATACGTTCCGTAGTTCAAGTAAGAGATTTCTTTACAGAAAATATTCCAAATTGGGCATCCATTCAAAAGCCATGAAAGATATTGTTATCTATGGTCATTAACTGTAAAATAGCAGTATGATTTCTCACTGCTGCCCAAAGGAAGGGCTCAGTTGCCTTGATGCCTCTTGATTGCAGGAAGAAGCAAAGGGGTAATTAAATCTTATGGTTGTAAAATTTACAAAGGGTTCAGGATGTGGTGAAGGCCAGTAGAAATGAGAGAAATCTGGACTGTCTGCTCTAATTCTGCACAACGAACAAGTCAACATCCTTTGGAAATGTCATTTATTGACAGTCCTCTCCCCCAGGACCTGGGATTTGAGCAGGAGACTCCCATTACACAGATAACTCCCAGTGGTGTTGATGGAAATTACCTGCATAACCAAGTCTCCTGCCCACATAAGATGCCAGATGCCTGAGAGCATTTTTAATTGCAATGTACCTCCCTTTGCAAAAGAGCTAATTGCATCTGCTTTCCTTTCCTTTAGGTGCCCAAGCATGGACCGGAATAATGAAGGGATACTTGTATTAGCTGCAGCCCTTTGAACCACGTAGAAGGAAATCAACAGTGTGGACAGGGCTGGAAGCGTTACCACACTTGCTTGTTGGAATAAATGAAGAATGGGCTTGTGATTATGCTGACATCCCAGCATGAATCTGGTGGACCTGTGGTTAACTCGTTCCCTCTCCATGTGTCTCCTCCTACAAAGTTTTGTTCTTATGATACTGTGTTTTCATTCCGCCAGTATGTGTCCCAAGGGCTGTCTTTGTTCTTCCTCTGGGGGTTTAAATGTCACCTGTAGCAATGCAAATCTCAAGGAAATACCTAGAGATCTTCCTCCTGAAACAGTCTTACTGTATCTGGACTCCAATCAGATCACATCCATCCCCAATGAGATTTTTAAGGACCTCCATCAACTGAGAGTTCTCAACCTGTCCAAAAATGGCATTGAGTTTATCGATGAGCATGCCTTCAAAGGAGTCGCTGAAACTCTGCAGACTCTGGACTTGTCTGACAACCGGATTCAGAGCGTGCACAAAAACGCTTTCAATAACCTGAAAGCCAGGGCCAGGATTGCCAACAACCCCTGGCACTGCGACTGTACGCTCCAGCAAGTTCTGAGGGGCATGGTGTCCAATCACGAGACAGCCCACAATGTGATCTGCAAGACCTCCGTGCTGGATGAACACGCCGGGAGACCGTTCCTCAACGCTGCCAATGATGCTGACCTTTGTAACCTCCCTAAAAAAACGACTGATTATGCCATGCTGGTCACCATGTTTGGCTGGTTCACCATGGTGATCTCGTATGTGGTGTATTATGTGAGGCAAAATCAGGAAGATGCGCGAAGACACCTTGAATACTTGAAATCCCTGCCGAGCAGGCAAAAGAAAGCCGACGAACCCGACGATATTAGTACAGTGGTGTAGTGTCCGAACTGACTGGCCAGGAAAAAGAAATCCATTTGGGATTGCAGTAGAATAAGTGGTTTACTTCTCTCATCCATTGTAAACATTTGAAACTTTGTATCTCAGTTTCTTTGGAGTCATGCCACTGTTGAACTTTTAACAAACATGACGGCATAAGTCATTTTCGTTTCGGTAATCCACCCCCCTCAGTTGCACTCCTGGTGGTATATTCCAGAGTCAGTTACTTCTCTGAACCTTAGTTCTGTCCATCTCAGTATTTAATAATGAAATTTATTTTTTTAATTTGAAACCAAATAAAAGCCTAACTTTGAACCATGAAAAACAGAGTGACTTATTGGTCCAGAGGACAGTACAGTCATCCCATTGCTTTAAAGAGAAACAGACAACTCTTGTGAACGTGAAGAATGATCACAGTGAGAGATGTTATTAAGTTCTATTGTACACTGGGGCGCCATAGCTGAGATATCAGCCAAGTAAAATACCTGTCAGACTTCAAAATATTAAGGCTTAGCAAACCTAAGTGATGATGCATAGCGTGGCAACCTGCAGAGGCGTAAGTTGGGACGTCTCTAGGTGTTTGCCACCTAAAAGTCGGTGCGTTTAGCAAAACACACTATTTCTGCTCTATGCTAGACACATGAAAAGAAAAAGGAGCACATCTTCTGTCCTCAAGATTACCTTCTGGTGGACAGAGGTGTGTGACCAACATAGAAATAGCCATGCCAAAAAGGAAGGTCTTAATAATCATGTAGCATCAACTGGGTGCAAGCATGGTGCAAGGCATTTGTATACTATGACTCCAAACCCTGACTCCCAGAGGAGAAAGTGACAACCACCCCATCTGCAGAGGAGGGCGCGAAAGAAGTCCAGTGACCTGCCAAGTAGAAAGTATCAGAACTCGAACTTGAATCAAGTCTCCCTGACTCCAAAGACGGAGGTCTTCTCATTATGTTCTGACTGGGTTGGCTGATAGAGGTATAATTTACATATTAAAAAAATGCACCCATGTTAAGTGTACAGTTCCATATGTTTGACAAATGCAAACGCCTGTGTATCAAGACAGTCTGTCCCTGGTACTGTTCAGGGATAGGAGAAAAGCTCATTTGGTGCTTGGAAGAGGGAATTGTGTTCCTTCGGGTTTAAGCTGCAGTTAAGGTCATCCTTGAGACTTGGGTGGGATCTCATCAGATGCTGTAGGTGAGGAAGGTAAAGGGAGCAGAACACAGGGATAAAAGGAGGGAGGTGTGGGGGACGAAGGGGTCCATGTAACAGGAAGTGAGAGACAGGGCTGGAGCCACGTCATGGGGACTCGACCCCAGACTAAGGAATAAAAGTAACTAATACTGTTTATGGAACACTTACTATACAGCAAGCACTTTCTTTGGGTTGTCTTGGTTAATCTTACCGTTTACCCTATGAGATAGTCTTCTGTGAATGACGAGTCAGAGACGCAGTTTAAGCAGTTAATTCAGGATGAGAATTATTACAGAGAAGTATTATAAGCTTGTAAAAAGTATTGCAGGTATTGAAACCCAGTCAGTTAACTGCAGAACCAACGGACCCCCTTAGCTGCTATACTGTATGCTTTGCAGTCGTAGACTTTTGCTACCTCAAGTTGCTGGTTCGCCAGACCTAGAGGTTTGCAGCCTCCCAAGTGATGGTTTCCTTAAGAAATAACAGCAAAAATAGCCCTTTGAGGGGATTAAGTAGGAAGGAAGGATCCTTTGCCATTTTGACGGACATAGCCTTCTCCAGCTCATATGAGGTTACCTTTGGACCTTCAGGAATCACACTTCTGCCCTTGGAAAGCACCATGGTTCCTGTCCATAACAATAGTGTCTTGAAAAGTTTAGCAGTGTGAACCCTGAGGATCAGCCAGCCCAAGATTTGCCATCTGACATTCAGAGCATATGGCTGGGCTCGTGGCACGCACCTCACGGCCACTGGCTTTTCATGCCTGCGTTAGCCTTACTAAAAAGTATGAGGTCTCGTGTAGAAGCCTGAGATGAGAAATTCAGGATGTGGGCCCTAGAACTCCTGCATCCCCGTGAGGAGGAAGCCACGTTGTCTGCCTGTGCTAACTGGATTTGAACGCCTTTCAGCACACTGGAGCTTTGCTGAAGATTTAACACCCCCTGGAGGACAACCTTATAATATATCTCTGTGAGTATTACCATGGAAAGATGACTAACAGAATACGCTTTCTTTTCTCCCTAAAGAGTAGAAAAATCAAGGCTTTGCTAAGATAACCTTTTAAAATAGTCAATAAATTAATTGTGTTTATCTGAGTGTGTGAAACACATTCATTTTAGAAAATCTTTCATAAATCCCCAAATCCATTTCAGGTTGCTTCTTCCAAAATAATCTGTATATTCTTAGGAATAAGAGCTTATTTTCCTACTGCGCAATTGCATTTGTCGCGTGAAAGTACCTGTCAAGGGAAGAAAACCTCTGAAATGTGTTGACGTATAGTCCTGGTCTTATCCAGATGTGGCCAAGTTCAATTGCCACATTTTAGTTTGTAATTCTCCACATACGTAGAGTTAAAAGCGCATCCTACGTTAATCCCTTTCCCTGCCTGTATATTTCCAGTTTACAGTGCCATAAGCACAAGTGCTTAAAATAACCGAATGTTTTAAATTGCCATGAATTGGAATATATAAACCATTGGAGGAGAAAATTAATTCTTTTTTGTTTTTTTTAAACGAATAACAGGCTACAGGACCCCTTCAGGGCCAAAGCTGAAAGGAAATACTCTTCCCATCAGCCTAGAGGAATGATGCCAGGCTGTGGAAAGAGCTTCCCAAAGCTCACGGCTGGCTGTACAGAAAAAGGCCCAATGTGCACACTCTGGTTTTGATCCCAACATGCTCTTTAATTTCCAAACCCTTGCACATGTTTACGTTACATGGAGGGCAACTTATTTTAGAGCTGTAAGGTTTTTGAAACGAACTATTATCTGAGGCACATGGCATCTTCCCTTCTAAATAGTCCACGTAACAGCTTCTTTGTTCAGCTCTCTCCTTTGGCACCATCTTTTAACTTCAACCTTTATTTATTTTCATTTTTATTTTATATTGGAGTGTAGTTGATTAACAATGTTGTGTTAGTTTCAGGTGTACGGCAAAGTGATTCAGTTATAAATATATAAGCATCTATATACTCAACAAAATGCGTTGAGGAGAAAAAGGAGAGATTTGAGTTACACAGTTTTACAGTGTACAGGGTTGGGAGTAACTGAGATCAAGTCAGAAAATTTACTTTCTATCATTAAATATCTGGAGTTTGTTGAATAAATGGACACTCTCTCCAAACCAAATTTCTTCCCAGAATTTAACTTAAACTAAGGGACTTACAACTTTTCCTGAGGAGCTTGGTTGGAGTATTGGAAGTTTGTTTGGTATGCAGGAAATACTTTTATTTCTCTCTTGCATCTGCCGGAGGAATGGGCTGACTACTCATAGGCCTTCATAGATCTGTCAAAGCTCATCTTGCCCGGGCTTAGAGACTCCCTTCCGTATGATCTTGGTCAGTCAGAGGCGGCCACCTAAAGGCTATCACAGCATCAGTGCAGCCAGCAGAGGCGACAGATCTCTTGCCTCTATCCCCCAAACCCACTAGGCCTTTCCCATCTTGAAGTTCCTGGAAACTCCCACTGCGTGTCGTGGGATCCTTTGGAGAGTTCAAGCCCAGATGAGAGGGTAGTCAATTTTTGCATTCCTGGAAGACGCCTGGCAGAAGTGGTCAGAATGAATTGTCAGGAGCGGTGGGATGATTGCGGATGAAGAGCCCAGGTATTTATTGCACCAGATCCAGGTAGAACACGCTGATGAATTGGGCAGAGATGTGGCAGTGGAGATGGAGTTTCAGTGACTTGGAGAGACGTTAGGGAGACGATCGTGGTCACCGTCATCATGGTCACTATCGTCATCACAGTTGTTACTGCTGGGGTCGTGCTCCAACCCTAAAGTCGAATGATTATACATGAAAATAATGGAAACAATGAAGAGGCCTCAGAAAACCAGCCTAATTATCCTAGCCGGGCCACGTGATTTCACTGTCACGTTCAACCTGATGTAGCCAAAAATAGGTTTGATTTCAACTGCATCGCAGATTAAATGGCCTTACATTTTCCCCCTGGTTGTCATAAAAGGATGAGGTTCATTTCGTTTGAAGACCTCTTTTAATGAAGGCTTTAAATCAAGAGCTATAGCTGCTTGTCACCTTGCAGGGAGATGACTGAGCTCCGGCTAAGCAGTTTATTAAATTCCTTGTCTAACAAACACTTGACCTGAGAGCTACAACCAGCTGGAATCTCTGTCTTTTTAGCTCCTCTCACACACGTGGGGACCTGCTTCTTGGGAGACCTGGGCAACCTCTGTATCTCATTCAGGAGAGTAGAGTATGAGATGCCTCTACCTTCACCTCACCCACGCCACTCAAATGGCATCTCCTGGAGTCTAAAAGGCCAATAAAAAGATGTTCTATTATAAAGGTAATCCTAGCTGCCAAAATATAAGATTAAGTGCAACGTTTCTGAGACTCAATATAAGAAAATTCTCCCTGGGACCCTTTTGTGTTGCAGAAACTTAACGTCTACCATAAAGTAATGAAAATTTATCACTGTCAGCTAATAACATTTATTAAACAATTACTACGTGCTAGGTATCATGCTGAGCACTTCCTGGCCTTCCTTGGCTACTCTTCAGAGAAACCTTCTGAAGTAAATACTATTTTTTAAAAAAATTAATTAATTAATTTATGGCTGCATTGGGTCTTCGTTGCTGCGCGCGGGCTTTCTTTAGTTGCGGTGAGCGGGGGCACCGTTGCGGTGCGTGGGTTTCTCATTGCGATGGCTTCTCTTGTTGCAGAGCAGGGGCTCTAGATGCGGGCTCAGTAGTTGTGTCACATGGGCTCAGTAGTTGTGACACATGGGCTTAGTTGCTCCAAGGCACTTGGGATCTTCCAGAACCAGGGCTCAAACCCGTGTCCCCTGCATTGGCAGGCGGATTCTTAACCACTGCGCCACCAGGGAAGTCCCTGAAGTAGAAACTATTATGGTTCACATAATAGTTCACAGCAGCGGCATGGAGAGAGCAATTAACACACTGAGGCCACGACTTCTCCAAGGTACAGCAGGGATTTCAGTACCATGATCGGACTCCAGCGGCAGCCTCACAATACTGCTCCATGCCCGGCGAACACGTGTCTCCATGTTTGTCGTCCTCATGATAATTAACACGTGGGTTAATTCATTTAAGCCTGAGAACCTTATATATAATCATTATCCTCATTCTCTACATAAGGATTTATACCC